TGTTTGTATTGTCGTTATTTTTGATCTAGTGTATAATTTCATGAAAAATATATTGGGCCTCACTATCGTGAGCGTTTAGACGATATGTGGATTATTTCACAAAGCATAACATGAAGCAACCTGCTTTGCTCGGGCAATGTGACAGCGCTCAACCAGTCGCGACGCACTAGATCCAGCCTTAGGGATATTTTTACCCGTAATGTTCGGAATGTTGATCACCTTTGATATTCACTTATCGTATAGTCAATTTAGATATTATGTGAATCCGATCTAAAATTTAGTTTAATGTGTAATTTTGCCAAAATTGAATGCCAATTTTCCTAGTAATAATAATAATTAATAAATCGTAATACCAAGAAAGAAGTCAGATTATTATTCCATTTTGATTCATAAAATGTAAAAAGGTTCATTTAGATATTAAAAATATCCTTTTTGATCAATTTTTTTCTACAAAGAATAATTATTTGAATCGTTCAATTTGTGTTCGTAATTAACCTTCCAGATTGTCTTTAAAAGTCCAAAAAATTGAATTACTATTTTATAAGATGCCTTAGAAGATGATAACCTACTATATTTGTTCAGAATATATTTTTTTGATATGCATTTCCATTCGTTTTGACAATTGCCAATGTTTCACCCATCATATTGATGAGCCTCAACTATTTTCACGAACATAAATATCAGTCAAGAGCAGGTGCCGGAAACATTTATTCGTTTATAACACGAATAAAACTGAGAAATGTCTTACTTAAAGCTTCTTGTGAAAAAGCAATTATTATCTTGTGTTTTCTTCATTACGTGTTTCCTCAGAGGTGTACAAAAGGCAAATCTTTGATGGAGAATCAGCGAGTGAAAAGCACGTCTGTGCCAAGCGCTAGGTTTTTGTGCGATGAGTGATGGTGCGAAATTTAAGACACTGGTAATTTAGTACTATTACTTGCATTGTTATTTAAAGGTTCTTTGCGGGATAATATTAACAGCCGTCATAACAATGTCTGTGCTGCACAGCATTCAGGAGGATGGCGTAGACATTTCGCGTTGAAGTGAAAGTGCACTGAGTCATATCACTCTCACTAACACAATATTGAGGCAATGCGATGATATTTCTCTTCTCCTTTTTGTCTTCATGGCATTTATCTAAATGTGTACGTTTCCTGGCTTTTTAAATTAAAAATCACAAATAAATCAAAGAAAAAACTATCTACAAAGTAAAATAAGTAAATACAGGGGTAATTCGTTGCAAATTGAGACACGTCCTTTCGACAGATGTTTACAAAAACAAGAGGAGCTTCAATGAATGAATTTTATGACTTATTTTACGAGGTGAGACTGAGGCCTTCTGGTCTTTTTTCCGTGTGACCACGCAAATTTCCCAAAGCTCCTTTCACCGTGTAACGGAGAAACAAGGTATTAATCGGGCGACGAAACATGTCATTTTGAATATAGCCGAGAGGCTTCTTTTCGGCATTACATACAGTAAATCTACAACATGGGACAGCCAACTTTACTTCCCAACGAAGAAAGGTGTAAGAAGGATTTTTCCTCCTACGGATCGCGAAGAAAACCGTGCTTTAAATACTCCATACATTACAGCATTTGCTCTATTTTGAGTCCGTGTATGGTATCTACCGTAGCCACGGCAATGTTCATCCAATGTCCCTTGTAGTGCCCTTTGGTGGTGGTGGCGGTCTGACGGTGATGCTGTGGCAGGTGGTGGTGAGCGCGGGGGCGGTGGCGACGCCGCAGCTGCTGCTGCTGTCGGGCATCGGGCCGCAGGACGAGCTGCGCGCGGTAGGCGTGGCGCCGCTGCACCATCTGCCGGGCGTCGGCCGCAACCTGCACAACCACGTGGGTCACGTGCTCAACTTCTTCATAGACGACGCCGACACGCAGCCCCTCAACTGGGCCACCGCCATGGAGTACCTGCTGTTCCGCGACGGCCTCATGTCGGGTATGGCAACCCTACCCCTACCATACAATGCCTCCTCCCCACATTTCCCAACCAACAAAAGCACTTCCCAAAAAATTAATAATAATGTATTTATGTATTTGGCATTTAGGACTTTTTTGTCCGACTTTGTCAGCTAGCTAACGGTGTCCCCCATGCCTGGACCTGGATTAATTTCCACGCTGGGGGTAAGAGGGACATGTAACGAGCCTGACCTATTCCTTTCACCATATTCAGAAAACTATATAATAATAATAATAATAATAATAATAATAATAATAATAATAATAATAATGTAACGTTACTCAGTTGTGAATTAAAACACAGGTAATATTTTAACGAAGACGTTTATTTTGTTTCTTAATGATACATTAAAATAGTCATTTAATTTACAGATAGGTTATACAGAGTACATACTTACATACGACTCTGTTCTCTTGATTATTTATTTACACTGTTCACTTCTTCTGCACTGTCGACGGTCTATTGCGTTGACCACAATTCACTGCGCAGACCACAATTCACGGCGCTGATCAGGGTCCACTGCACTACTGTTCATCGCGATACACACTCAACAACTCAGCTTCCACTTCAGACTTAGACTGCATACTCACCGACTACATACACTGACTGACTGACTGACTGACTGACTGCTTACTCACTGACTACATACTTACACTGACTGACTGACTGACTGACTGCTTACTCACTGACTACATACTTACACTGACTGACTAACTGCTTACTGCCTGGCGCCCGTCTCGACACATCCGGAACTTTCGCCACACCTCTTCGCGACTCGCGAATAACCCGGAACCGTCCAATTCGGGTGGCGCCGGCAGATGATGCAATATTCGTTACAACAACAACAACAACAATAATAATAATAATAATAATAATAATAATAATAATTATAATTATAATAATAATAATTATAATAATAATTAGTTAATTTAATTTTCTAGAGACTGCTGGAAATTGAATCAAATAGCTCCAGGAAAGTTAGAGTTGAAACTTCGTTTAGTATTTATTTTCAATCAATCTTTACGACCACCTAATCAGGTAACAACTGTTGATAGGGTTAAAGTCATGCGAAACAGGTTATGTCTACATAGATAAAATGTTATTGACTTTTTATTTACGTTCACCTATACCTTGGTTCTGTTTCTCTTCGAGTGTGCTTCGAAGTTATTTCCCAATCAAGAATCGATGTTAAAAGATTAACACCGAATTAGAAATACGAGTATACCTTATTTCGACCAGGTTTTTTGTCCAGATTTCACTTGAACCATTGAGCAAATGCAAGGTGGCCTCTTGGTTTGCTTCTGGACGTAAATGTGGTTTCACTATCTGCGCACGTTTTCTTGAGCCGTTTGCCAATAGTGAGCGGAGAAGGGCAGATGGAAGTTATTTCCTCAGCAATACTATAAAATCAAACCTATAGTCCAATTGCCCATACAAATAAGTGATCAATTACACGGGAGTGATACTCTAGTATTCAAATGTTGCCAACAGCTTTTATTCATTATTCAACGATGTAAAATTTAAGAAAAGGATTAGAGATTCTGAAGCTAAAGAAATCGTGTGTGGAGATTATACTTCTATATCCATAGGTCGCAGAAAGTTTTCAGTACTTTTGGGAGATAAGTACAAAAATAAAAATAACGTACAAAAACCAAACGAAAAGAGAAACTAGTGCCCTTCCACTCACAAGGAAAAATTGCGTCACAAGTCCCTGACGTCACAAGTGACTTCCCTCTTCATCTCATATCTAGTTGCTCCTAACTCTTTCACTTTTTCTCAAAAGTTAAGTAGAACTATATTTTCTATATTGTAACATATAGTAACACATCATAATAAGACAGGCATAAAAATATTATTGAAAACTTGTCGATAATGACTAATAAAAAAACGAGTTGCGACGTCTATCTTCTTTGAATGAAATTCGAACTCTAGACATAAACGGTTGCGGTTGAATGGATAGCAAATTATGTTACATTAATGACAAATGAAAAAGTGTTTTCGTTATACAATTATTCCTGTGTCGTTACAATCTTATTTTCAATTACAATTTCTTAATAATCACAGTAAATTTTATTTTTCAGTGGAAATGCAAGCTTATTATCGCCTCGTTTTGGAGCATTTCTGTTTTCAAACACCTAAGGAAAGAACGTTACTGTAGGTAGTTTGCGATTACTTGTTTTAATGTTAGCTTTTATTAAACTATTTAGTACTTTTCTTTAAAGGGATATTTACTATCGGTGTACTGAAATTATGCCAAGTTAATGCAATTTCATTTATTGAACTTTTTTTATTTCGTTATTTCTCTTACGTGTTCTTGGCTACGAACGTTTTTTACTTTTTATTCACTATTATCCCTGTTATTTTGATCATCTCTAAGAAATAGCACTATAAAAATAATGGACTTAAAAATATATTTTCCAATAAATTTATTAAACAAATACAACCTGTATACTTTGAACTAAAAACAAAATAATTTCAAACTATGAAAAATAATATTTACATTTTCAGAGCAAATTGTAGCATCACGTATCAAATTGAAATAATATATTGAACATGAGCATAGAATTTAATTAAATTTTCTGTTAATACATACTGTTAAGGGCTTCTCCTTAAACGACGAATTTTCACTTGTGGGTACTGGGCTTCGAAACCCAGTAGGTACTGGAGGAATACGGGGCGAACTAAGTAGGTTTTAGTAGGTTCCCTCTGGGCTCCCTCTCCACTCATTACTCACCACAACTTCTGTATTATTTATAATATATATTATATTATTGCCCCTAACACCATCGCCGTACCATCGTCAATATCACATCTTTGCCCGCGTGTTGTGTCGGTGCGATCCGATAACACGGAGATTCCTACAGAAAACTATATTTGCGGCACATCTATCTGCATCCATAATTCAAGCGAGACGCATTCAGCCACGTGTGGTTGTGTACGCAAAAATGTGCTTGTATATCGACCCTGACAAATTGTTTTGCTTATTTTTATATTAAAATAATGATGTAGAAGATAAGTGTTTTTTTTTCTTGAAAAGACGTGATTTGTCGTGATTGCTGAGTATTAATATTTGAAAAATAATTCAAAATGTTACAAAATTTTTTTAACATTTAAACATTAAAACGTTTGAACATTTCACATGTTACAAATTTTAACTGTTAAACATATCAACGGCTAAACACTTCAACGGCTAAACACTTCAACGGCTAAACACTTCAACAGCTACACACTTCAACGGCTACACACTTCAACGGCTACACACTTCAACGGCTACACACTTCAACGGCTAAACACTAAAGAGAACTTTTGAACGTGTGCAACATATTCATATTTGCTTTCCCTCTTCCCTGTTGACTTCTTCCGCCATTGTCTCCTCTCGATTCTAAGTCGGTGACTGAGCATGGCGCGCGTGGCTTGCAGGCACGGGCGTGTCGGAGACGACGGGCTTCATCCACTCGCGCTTCGCCGACCCGGCGCAGGACGACCCGGACATCCAGTTCTTCTTCGGCGGCTTCCTGGCCAACTGCGCGCGCACCGGGCAAGTGGGCGAGCGCTCGGACGGCGGCGGCGGCAACGCGACGGGCGCGCCCGCGCAGCGCGTTGTCAACATCATCCCGGTGGCGCTGCACCCGCGCAGCAGGGGCGTGCTGCGCCTCCGCTCCGCCGACCCCGCCGCGCCGCCGCTCATCTTCGCCAGATACCTCTCGCACCGGCAGGACGTCGAGACGGTGGTGCGTACGCCCGACGGTCACTCTCCTGCTTTGGCAACGTTTAGGAACTTTACTGTGCCCTCCTCAGGGCTGTCGGACACATAATTACACTGTTACTAAATAAATAAGTTACAAAGTTGGATATAATACATAAAAAATAAACACCTAAACGTTGGAAATCTAGGAGTTTCATGAAGTGACGAACATCCATTAACTATTCCTAGAATTATGTGCGTGATATGGGCTGTCCGGGTGACGCCGCGTTAAAGGCTGTGCTGCTGACGTTTCTCCTATCTTGTCGTGGTCTTCTCAGGGCTGGTATGCAAGCCCTGAGGAAGCCCTGAGGGAGCATACCAGCCTTGAGGAAGACCACGACATGATGGTCGAAACGTGGGCAACACAGCCTTCGACGCGGCGTCACCCGGACAGCCTAGATCACGCACATGACTCTGGCAGCGGAAGCCTACGACTTTATACCTAGAATTACTAGTGTGATCGTGTATTAAAGAACTAGTACCCGGGAGGGTTCCACAAAAACTTGGTTGGCCGCGAGTCACCACGTTTCAGGCATAGATGCCAATGTCTAAGCTGGGCAGCTATGCCTAGGACGGGGTGCCTTCCGGATAGCCAAGTTTCTAATGACTAGCCGCGGAAGCCTATTATATCACGGTTGTGTTACGTTCACAATAAATTTAACATAAAAATGTTTCGTTTATTATTTCGTTTTGTGGCAACTTTATTATCGTAATTCCAGTAAGCGTAGTGCTCTTTTATCTCGAGAGGTGGCGGTATTCTTGCCCCTGTAGATGGTGAGATCCGGCGCCAACCCCGTGCGTCCTCGTGAAGTCTATCCCCATCCATGTGTCTCCCTTCATGTATCTCCGTCCCAGTCGGGACGAGCTCTAAGCTCCCGACATCGGTGATGACGTGTGTGCCTGTGTAAAAGGAGACGAAGGGAGGAGGATGAGAAATAAATGATCGTGCGCAGCCCCTAGACCATGTGTTAAGTTAGCAATTTCAATCTGCATTCGTTGATCGGAGATACCACGGACACGATCTCCAGAATTCCGGTCTCTAGAATTCTCCTCCAGACAGCAGTTGAATTCTGTGTAGTAAAGATTCAATCACATAATAATATCTCGGTTACAGTAAGTACTCGGCACAGATATTATGTATACAATCGTACGACAGTTAGGAAAATGGTCGCAATTTTGCAGTGATCACAATGCTTTCGTGTACCATGGGCTCGGCGAGTGATTCATTGTATTGACCGTTCCATGAGCAATTACGATGAAGAATGGCAATTTATGACGATACAAACTAAACAGGTTTCTAACAGAAACTCTAGACGACCATTGAATTATTCGTAACACGACAGTGCATTGTTCTCAGTTTTAACGTAAACGTGAAAGTACAGAATTTATAGGTTACGCCTTGTGTTTATGTTCACGTTAACGGTCACAGATGTGAAGGGTTTCGTAGAGTTACATATCGCAAATTTTTTGCATTCACATTACTTTTATATTTACATAATGTTGTGAATGAGCCTTAAGGAATACTTTAAAAAAATTATGCTTTACATTAAAGTCGAATGCTAGAATGAAACGTCATCTGTGCTTATCGATTACTTCACCACCTTCGGTGTTGCGGTCTCTAATATTCTACTTTTTTTAAAATATTTTATCGTATGTGTTCATTTTATAGTATGAAATCAGGAAGAGTTTCCATTTTCCAAAAATATTTTAATTTCCCTGGTCTGGGCTTTTCTCGTTATTTCTTTCATTCATCAGCCAAATCAATTTTTTCTTTATTTTTCCCACTTTTCAATATTTTGATCAGCATCAATTATAACGTATCAATTATTAGTTATTATATGATGGTGTTACTTCATTTTATGCTTTTTTATTAACTTAAAAATATAATTTTAATAATTTAACAAATAATATTTTCTTCACATTTTTTCTCACTTCTCTTCGTTGTCTTATTTGTTATCATTTTCTATTATTTTCTTCCTTTATTTCTCGATACTTCGTAACTCAAATCTTATCATGCCTTACCTCATTTTATTTCCCATTAACTCAAGTACACGCATATTCCTTTCTTACTTTTGCCCAACACATACATTGTTCGTATTTACATTTATTTTGCCACTATGTTCTTTTCATTTCTTTTAATTCTTACATTGCAAAAGTTTAATTAATTCATGACCTATTGCAAAGATCTTTCTTTTGTCTCTATTTCCATATTTATGCCATATTTTCCATTATTTTTCCTCTCTTCTGCCTGATGTATTTTTGTTCACTTTCGGACCTTAATCAATGAGTGAATGCATTATCGAGACAATACATAAAAAGAGTGAACGAGTGATTTATTTATTGAATGAGACAGTGAAAGAATGAACACATCACATAAAATTATTGAGTAAAATGTATAATGAATAAATAAGCGAACAAACGAACGAGTGATTAATGAATGAACAAATGAGTGATGAATGAACGAACGAACTAGTGATGAATGGA